CCCAGATTTCTTCGGAGAAGCTACTGAATATAGTAGAGAAATTATCAAGGTGCAATATCTGCTCGTGTCCTATCTTATCCTTGAAATGCAGTAACGAAAGATTTCCTTCCCCACTTCCAAAAACAATAACATGAGAGGTTCTGATTTCAAACAAGGGACAGCTAGTCCAAACCTCTCTGAATCTGGCTGCCAGGGCTGTGCAATGAACTGCTCTCACAGGTTTGTATGTTTTCAACAGTCCTGACATCATGTTGAAATCTTGAGCTTTGCTTAAAGCCCTTCTTCCTGCAGAAACACCACTTGTATTTTTCACTCCACACTGCAGACTCAGTTGATACACTCTCATCCTGACAGCCTAGGTTCACCCAAAACACTGAACCAGTTTACTGTCAAGAATGGCTGTACAACAGCACTTTCCAGATACTTCCCATTGGAGAAGTCTCAAACATATCACAAACTACAGTCATGGACTCACTTACTCAGTGTTAAAATACATACCAGGAAGAGCACTGTGTAGAACACGACACTACATTGAGTAGCACTCTTTAAGAGAGCACAGCAGAATCAACCTCATACCACAGATATTTCATAATACTGGAACTTAACTGCTTTCCAAATAGCCTGTCTTGCTATCTCTACTTAACATTTTAAGAAGCAGTGCAAATAAGACTGGTATTCGTATCTGTGTTCAGCAAAACTGGCATATAAACTATATCTCAATTATGAGCAGCCATCTTTGGAAGCACATCTTAAGAAAGAGATATAATTACAGCTCAGCCACCTCAGTGTAGATAGTCCAAGACTATCTACACCAGATGTTTACCAGAAGTTGTTTCACAATGCTTTCGGCTTACTCAAGTTTCACTTTCCCAGGGACTGTGAAATTAAAAGGCCTTCTTTATAGCTAATGTGATTAGAAATTCACTCCAAAATCAAACTCAGAATAAATTCTATTCTCAGCTCATGAGCTCTAGGGACTGTTTTACAAAATCAGGACTGAAATCTTTCATCAAAATCAGTGCTCTTTGTCACATGCAAATTTAGAAGTCTGTTCTGGATGTATTGGATTGCTAAGTAAATGAGAAATCTTCACCTGCAAATCAGGCATGAGATGTTAAGCCTTGAGTTTACCATTTGTGTATAACAACATGCAGTTATGGAAGATCCCGGATAATAAGTGAGCTATGATAAGGAACACATAATTACAAACTTTGCTTAATTATGGTGTGGGCAGCATTTGACCTCCTTTTCTTGAAATAAACATCTACCAATTTTCACTGCTGTGAAAAATGTTACTGGCTTATTTTACCAGAATTTTATAGTATATGCAGAAAAGTTTACTATTTATAAATCAAGTGTTCTAATTAAGATTGATTTCTAGACTAGTTTCTAACATTTTTTTTTTTTTCATTGTTCACAATTTTTAATAACTCTCAATGGAAATTTATCATCCTTGCCTTCTAAGCAAAAGAGATGTCTTTTCCTGAGACATATGAATAAATTCTCAAACAACCTAATGTGGAAAATTAACTTTTTAGCTTTTTCACAGCTATTAGAATTTAAATCCATGGACAAGTTCTTCACACATGCAAAGGCTTAGATCTCCTCTGAACACCTTTGCAGCTGGGTAGGGGAGTTTTCATAAGGCACAGTATTTTGTAGCAATAACATCCAATAATCACTAAACCTGGATTTCATAAATGTGGATTTGAGACCTTACTTTGCCTAAGTAAACTCAGCGATATTATTTTAGCATTCCCTGCTTTCTTTCCCACCAGCAGTGTGAAAAGAATAGTATTTCCCTATCTCACAGGGGTGCTATAATGGAAAAGCATCAGGAATTTGGATGTCTTAAAATAGTAAGGAAAACTGTACAACTGCACTGCAAGTGAAAGCTGTAACTTGCTTCCCAAGTTCCCATTCCCCAGCTGTGATGCCACAGGCCTACAGGAGATAAATGCACTGGGGACATCTGAATACTGCAGATATTTCTGGCCAGGCAGTGACCAATGCTACTCTCACTGCAGCTGCTGAACAGACCTCTTGTGTTGTCAGGGACCACCCCAGGCTTGCAGGCAACTAAAGAGAGTGATGGTTCAAAGGGCAAACAGGCCTCTGCTGGTAAAATGAATTGTACTCTACTCATGACAGAGATTTACATCCATCTTTTCTCCACACTTTAGTCAGACACTTCAATGCATTTTAACTCACTGTCTGTGCTTCAAGCAATAAGCTTTGTCTCAAACACTTGCATGCATAATGCATTTTCTGCTGTTACGTTTTTAATTCTCATTAAAAGGCTAGGATAATTAAAGGCATAAACAGGATGACAATAATTAAAATTAAGAATAAAATAAAAGTGGAGTCAAGAAATAAATCGGTAGAATTCTAACAGGCTACAATGACATTCAAATTGCATATGTAGAAAATTTCTAATCCTGTTTGGAGGGGAGATTACATAGTCATTATTATTAAATTTATTCTTAGTTAATAAATGCAGGGTGTGCAACATTCTACTTTCAGTTTCACTTAGAAATATTTTGATTTCCTGCTCCTGTATTTTTATTTCAGAGTGTTGCCTAACCAAAGACAAATCCTAATAAAAAAAATAATAAACCCAATGAGATTTCTATGAGAATTACACTGTTTCCTTAAGAAACAATAAAGAGAAAGAGCTTTTACTGTCTCTTTAAGCAAGTACAGCAGTACAGAAATCTTGTCACAATTTGCATTTGGACTTGTCCCACTCCAGAGAAAGCTCCAAGCTGAAAAAGCAAAGGTGATAGATGACTGCTATCCCAACACTTAGTAAGCAGGAATGGTTTTCCCCTCTCCTTGGGATATACTATAATGGATTTTTAATTACCCTATATCCTTCAAATACCAGTGCTGAATCAGGTTGAAAGTTTTATGCCTAAGTGTGTAGATTTAGTTCCTTGCTTTCCTTAGTTTTTGTTGTAGCTTAAATGTCATTTTAAAAATCTCCACTTATTCCAAAAACTGGAAAAGGCCAGGGCTGCAAATTCAAAAGATAGATACCTCTTCACACAGCGATGACCCAAACCTAAAAGAGATCTGAAGAGGTTTCCAGTACATAAGCACTCTAGTGTCATAAAAACATAATACAGGGCACTTCCTTGGTAGTTATATACACTCCAAAGGATGAAAAAGGAAACCCACCAACCTGCATTTGACTTTAAATAATATTTTATATATTATATACTCATTTTTAGCATAGAAAGGCTATAACAAAAGTCTACTCAGGCATCAAACATTTAGAGGCAGCCACTGCCTGCTGATTAGAATTAATTCTGGATAGTCTCCTGTTTACAGGAGGACCTAGGAAATATTTGCTCAGCAAAGCAGCACCATCTTGCTTTCTTTTACGGCAACAGATTATTACACCCCTGCAGCAGAAAGAGGGCAACAGACACTTGCATTATGGCAGTTTTATTTCCTTCTGCCATAAGCAATTGAGACTTTTGCAATTACACCAGTTACTTGAGGAGGAAAATCCCTCACAGCTCAGGAGCATACTGTGTTCCAAGACCTTTTAGGAAGCTCACTTCTGCTCTTGTAACTGTTCACCGTGCTATCTTGGATCTAAAGCCAGGCCAAACTGGTATTCTATATTGAAATGTTTTGTGAAAGCTTAACAATGAAAGAATGGAAAGATCACAGCTTTAGATGCCTTGTGGCACTACCATACACCACGTGGATCTGAACCTGAGACCACAGTTTTATCATAGCACTTCTCCCATCTCAGCTCCGTGTCAAAAAAACTACCTAGTCAGGTGAATACAGACAGACACATTCCAATACTATAAATCTGTAACTGGGCATTTCTTAGTACTAAGGGAATACAATTTTATCAAGCTTTGTCATATTTTTGGGATTTGCCCAAAATGTATTATATTCTACTTTGGCAAAATATGCTGTCCACTATTTAAGTCAAATAACCTTTAATACAATTCCATAGAGAAACAGTGAATTTGTATTTTATGCATTGCTTTTTATCAACAATAATACATAAAGAAAATAGTACAAAGTAGAAACTATTTCTGTACATCATATTCTCCTACAACTGCACCCACACAGAAGGCATTTTCAAACAAACTATCATTCAAAACTGGACATGGAGATGCAGGATGGAGTTACATTAATGGCGTTCTAGGTGGGATGAAAAGCAAACCCAATATAGAAGCTATTCAAGCTAGCAACATGTTCAGCTGAAGGGCAACTCAGGGTTAGAGATACATTGTCAGAGTTGGAGGTTTTTTTCCATTTTAATGAATATTACACCCACAAACGCCAATAAAATAAAATAATTTTGTCCTTTCTCCCATCTTTTCTTACTGAATATAATCCCGCTCTCAAACAGTGAAATACCAATCGATATTATCTGGATGTCAAAAAAGAACTGTTAGGATATGAAGATATCAGAAGAAATCCCTATTTTTCTTACCAACACCTGTGATGGAAACCAGTTTCCAAGCTGTCTGAGTATCTTCCCTACCCTCCCTATCCCAGTTAGGAAAACACAGAGAGGCACACAGAGTTTGCAGTTTTAACTGGCTTATGTCTGTATATATAAAATATAAATCAATACAAGCCTGAACCACCTCCAGAGCCTCCTCCTCTTCTTCAGCCCCAGGATTTTCCACCACACTCTGTTATAGAGCCTGTTCAGAACAACTTCTAAACTAGAAAATTTTCAGATTATTCAGTCTTGCCCAGTTTTCTTTCATGGTACCCTACTATGCTTAGGCATCTACAGAATGGCACTTGGGGGTGAGTTAACAGTATAATTATAGAAGTGTTTCTTTGATATTAGAAACACTATGCTCATTTTTAGAAATGTTAAGCAAGATAAATCACTGACACTTTTGATAAGTGTAACAAACTACTGTTAAATAATACTAGATGACTTTTAACTCTTTGAAGAGAAAGAGTAGATCAGCCTCTGAGAAAAAAAGCATGGGCTGATCCATCTCTGTAGAGAGAGCCAGGTCTGCAATAGCTTCACCTCATTAAGTTTTAGTGAAAGTAGAAATATTTATCTTTGTTAGTATGACTCTAGACCAGCCTAAATAGTAATAGGAGTTGCACAGCATCTCAAGTTGGTACCAAAAAAAAAAATCAAAGAAACAAGTCATCTTTTTAAATCACAGACCAGCTGAAGTTTGTGCACAAAGCCAGAAGGAGAACCAGAAATGGAAGCTGTAGCCCAAACTGGTTCATCACCATCATTGTATATATGGACAGAATCTTCTTCTTTCACCCTGTCAGTTGATGTGCTTTCCTTTTCTTTATTACATGGCTGTACTGAGACCACAGAGAAGAGGTCGTTGTAGTTTCAATTCACTGGTCTTTCTTCCCTTTCAGAAAATCATATTTGGTAGCTGGAAAGAGCTGCACCTGGGACTCCAACTCAGAAGAAAATAACTTCTGGCTCATTCAAGCAATGAAGTGTGAAAGACTATTAATTTATAATCTCATTTTAGCAGAATTCCATATGTGCCCCAGCTCAGGTACATACTGGGCACAAAACAGAGCAAATGTCCTGGCTCATTTTGTTCCAAATCTCCAAACTGGAGTCCTCTCAGTTTTTTAAAGGAATACAATATTTAATTTAGAGCATGTTGTCGACACACATTAATGTTCTCTGCAGGACAGACATTTCATTCTTCTCACTTTAGACTAGCCTCTGTAAAAATGAGTGAAAAACATAACCTTATTTTACTTTCATATAAGCATGCAGAACTTCATTCATTAGTTCATACATTTGTGCTGTGATGGCAGATGCAGTATTTCTAAGATAATGAAGGAGAGTATTAAACCCTTTCATTCAGACTTTAATTCAGAAATGATAAGAGAACAGGTAAATGGTCAAGGTAAGATACTCAGCCATGAAAACTGCAGTGCTTAAAAACGGGGTCAGCTAGGCAAGGATGGTAGAGAAGCTGAGCTGCAAGAAGTTAAGGGACTGTGGCAGGGAGGCCTGTTGCAGCTGCAAGCCAGACAGTTGGTGCTGTAACAACCAGCCACTTGAAACAGCTTCAGGAGAGGCTGCTCAGCACAGCTGGCCTGGCAAAAGATGAAGTACAGTTGGTAGGAATGCCACAGCATCCCTTTGTGCAACAGAATTCAAGACCTGAAACCCAACAGCCTGTATAGCTACAGGTGACAACCTATAGAATTCATAAATATGGAAAAAAAAATGCATTTCAAAGACTTGGCCTAAACAAATGCAGAAATTGCATTAAGTATGCAAATAAATCATAGAATCATAGAATAGTTAAGGTTGGAAAGGACCTTAAGATCATCTAGTTCCAACCACTCACCCATGGGCAGGGACACCTCACAACAGACCGGGTCACCCGAGACTCCTTCCAACCTGGCCTTGAACACTTCCAGGGATGGAGCATTTACCACTTCTTTGGGCAACCCATTCCAGTGCCTCACCACCCTCACAGTAAAGAACTTCTTCCTTATATCTAACCTGAACTTCCCTGTTTAAGATTGAATCCATTATCCCTTTCCTATTGCTACAGTCCCTTATGAAGAGTCCCTCTCTTCATACAGAGGGATGAAAGGGCATTCTCCAGAGTAGGGAGGCTGTTCAGCCTCCTGGCCAAATCTGTCTTGGTCGGGGCTGAGACTGAAGCTAAAAATTCTGATGGAACAGTATTGCCTGGTCTGTTTTAAATAATAGTTTATTTTACTCTTCCACAACTCATGCCTGACATTCTCCTTCTGTTCCCAAGAGTCAAGAGTTCTGAGGGGAAAAAAAGGTTATGTATTTTACAGTTCTTATACTGGTTCTCCTGTTTTCCATTGTCTTCCACCCACTGCCTTTGCATATTTTAGGTACCCTCCAATGACATCCTTGACAGAGCATGAAGTCTCAGTTTCTTCTTCACAATTCTGGCACTTCAGTTTCCCCAGACACCTGCTACCACAGCTCTGTCATTTCTCCTGTTTAGTTCCTCACTGCTCAGTTTCATGGCTTATTATTTTACGGAGCTCTCAGAATATAGACAATAACTTAAAAATACATTACCATTTCAGTTCATTTGCCTTATGATACATTTCATAAAAGTAATCAGATCCTTTTCTAAATCGCTGATCTGGCTGATATAATTAATTACCTTTATCAGTATATATCTTCCTTATCTCATTCTGCGGGCTGAAGCAATAATATTCTGAAGAAATACACAGGAATATAAGGCATACATACACATGCTCTTACTTTAATGAATAAATATTAGAGTTCAAGATGACAGACAGGAAAGGACTGTATTGCTTGAAATGTCAGCATGAACTACCACCTATATTCCTTTTGTATCACTGGCACAAACAATGTTTTAGACATTATTCACAACTAGGTGTTTTCTGTCCACATGTAGCCCACAAACAGATTTAAATATACCCTGTAAAAAATTTCAAAGTCAAATATTACCTGTCATTATTTTCTCTTTTTAAAGAAATAGAAATGTAATTCACATGTACAGTATTACAGGTATCCTCTACTATGTAATATTTTTCCAGGGATTTACTGAAAATTACAGATAAAACCAAAATTTCAACAATTTTGGCTTGTAACCAAAAGCAGCACTAAGCATGTGTGATATACCTCCATCACCAGGCAGCTCTAAGAAAACACTGACAAATAAATAGCAAGTATAGCTAATTCAGATCACAGACAAGAAAGAGCCTTACAGATTATGTCTTTCCAGCAACACTTCTCTACCATCATCAAAGTGAATACGGTATCATATCCTCTGTTAATCACAATGAATAATGGGAATAAATTCTTCAGGATTAAAGATGCAAATGGTCCAGAACCAGCCTAAATAAAAACCAACATATCAGTATATATCTATACCTACAATGTATCTTGCAGAGTCTACAGGATAGAACTCCAGTTTCTGGGAAAGCCCCACTTTCTGTGTAGATTTGAAGTACTGCTCATTCACAACAAATGCATCAAGAATGTTTTGAAACTCAGCCCCATGGCATAGCTCCAGCAGATACCTGAGCATTTATTTTATTTTATTTATTCTATACTAAAACTTATTCTACACTAAGCTCAAAATTTTGCTTCTTTATTATGGCATTTTTTTCTATTCCAATATTACAGAGTATTGGGTGGCTTAAAGTAAAGTAAGCCTGGGTCAGATCAAAGGTCTAATTCATGTGACATTTGTAACACTAGCCTGCATCAGGTGCCTTAGAGAAGATAAAGGCAAGCAAATGGGTGTGAGTGGGTGCCTCCACCTGCACACGTGTGAAGGGTACATCACTTGCTGAGCTGGTAAAACACTCCAATGCACCACACTTAAATAAATTTGCTCTGTGAACTCTGATTCAGGAAAGGGTTGGTGGTGTCAGTTCCACCAGGAATAAGAATAATAATAGCAATCTCTAATTTCTTTAGAGGCTCATGATACTTTGAGGAGTCTTTTTCATAAAAGGGGAAATTCTCCTGTGAACACAATTATGAAAGTTAACCAACCTCGAGAAAGGCTTAAGCTTGAAAGTAATCAGAACCCCAGGCAGATCTCTGCGACACAGAGAAGGTTTAAGTACCCAAGTCCAAGTCCATCCTGTAGATGTTGGCAAAAATCTTACTAGCTTTCAGAAATTAAAATCTCATAAAACTATCATCTATGCATATCATTTCTAAACTAACCATTAAAAACTTTCTCTAATCCCAAACATTTTAGATTGTGATTTCCTCAGTGCAGTGACCTTCTTCCTGTTCTTTATTATAGCAATGTACAATGAAAAGGGATAACACTTTATAAAGCAGACTGCTATGTACTACTGCAATACAATAAATATTCAAATTTACATATATGTATTTCTTTCTATGTAGATTTCTATCAAATTTTCCTTCTACTTTCACTTCTCCCCTAGTTCCCTCTATATTATAAATCTGAAGGGATGACAGAAAAAAAAAAGTAGAAATAGTTATTCTGAAACCCAATGTTTGATACTAAATGTAGATTTTTTTTCAACATATTCTGGGAGTAGAAAGACACAGGCTTTTATGATCACAAAGCAATAAATGCTTTGAAATAGTACATATAAAAATAATAATCCACTGATATATCGTGACACTCCTATTCATCAGCTACAGTTTTGTTGGTTTCATGCAATTAAAGTTACCAACTGTGTAAACATATTCTTTGCAACAATTCAAAAAATTTGCAGTGTTAGACAACAGAAAAAATCATGGCTATAGTTACAAATCTGAGTAATTTTTCTACACAGAGTATTCCATGAAACTCTTTATCTTTGGTCATGAAATGTTATCTTATTATTTCAAATAGTAGTTTGCTACTTAATTAATAAGATGATAATTTCTCTATTTAGAAAGTCCCCCATCTCCTTGATCACTTCACTGTCTTTTTTTCAAGGTGGTATTTCAAATGCACTATACTTGTGGGTGAGAAGGACTTTGGCGATATTTCTGTTCCCAGAACATAGTGGTAGGCAATTCCAGTTATCCAAGAAACAGGAGAGCAGTCTTTAGAAGATGGAAACATATGAAAACAAAAAAGACTACAGACAAAAGTATTTTTCCTGTTCCTAAGCAGGAACAGGAAAATGCTCAGACAGCAATTATTGTGGTCAGTGAAGCAGTGCAGATTACCAAATTGTACCAGACAAAAGATGCACCAACACATACATACATACATACAACTTGGTTGTATGTACTGCATCTTGGCTCTGCGTATTACAGGCCAGTGCAAGACAGGAAAGAAGGGGTTTAAAAACTATTGGGTTTTCAGCATTTTCCAAGTACTGAAGACATCATGATATGTCTAAACAGTATCAGCACTATACAGAAGTAACCTCATTTTAAAATATCCCTTTAAGTTTGAAAACATTCTACAATCTTTTGTTTGTGTGAGTGTATACACAGTGATTTTATGAGGGACAAAATCATATTTAGACCATTCACTATCAATGTCTAAATTTTGACTGATGCTCAGTTGGCACATGCAGAAAAGAGGGACACAAAATACTTCTTCCCAGTGCTCCTCTGCCCCATGCAAGTCTCATTCTCAGTGCCAGGGCTAAATAACCCACTCTGCTAAACACTCCCACTAAGGCTCCTTGGGTACTCTCCACGGTAAATCCACACCCCAAACAGGAGGACAGAGGGAAAAACAAATTTGTCCAAGGTTTAATCCAGTTGCAGCAGGAGGCAGGAGAGCAGGGTATGCAAGTCCTGGAGAAAAGTCAGAAACAAGAGAGGCTTGCCAGTCTGCAAAAAAGCCTGTGCCCCTACACCTGCCTGCCATGGTAAGGATCAGAGCTAGATTAAACCTGGCCAGCTACAAGTATGTTCATTCCAGTCACTCCTGATTGCTGGAAGGGGCTATTTGCAGATTCACTGTAGCTGTTGGCTGGCACCAACACAGGTCATTGCCTCCAAGGCAATCTGACCTCAAACACTTTCAGTTTAACATTAAATAATTAATCTGTCTGAAAGAGCAAATTTTGTGTTTCTGTGTGCATGTGGAACAGATGACAGTAAAATCGAAAAGCAGAAGTGCAGCTTTTTACACAGTGGGTTTGTCCCCAGAGAAATAAAACACATTTTCTCAGCAGGTGTTAAAATGAATTTGCTCAGAAGCCCCTTCATGAGAAAATCCTGTTAAATTCACTGTTTTCACATCTTTGCCTACCCCACAGTACATGCCTACACATACAGCCTGTTTCCTCCAGTAAAACTACAGACAAACCTAAATCCCTAACAATTGAATTGAATTTTCAAATGCATCTCCTACTGCTAGTGCTATATGAAAAACTTTTAACATGCCATTTAGTGTCCAAAGTGATAACAGATTAAGGCTTTAAGAGTTCTAGGGCAGTTGCTAGGAAACTTCCAAAATTAATACTGTGGCAGTGAACCATTTGACTCACAGTGAGGAGACTAAAACTGAAAATTAGTATTATTTAAAAGTACTTAGGACAGAGAAGTACCTCCCTCTCATCTGCTAAGACACACATAAATGCCCGCATGTAATTTTTCCTGTAAAAGTAGTGTTTTCTAGTTTAAAACAGCTTCTATGCATCCTGAAATTGAAAAAAATCCATTTAAATAGACTAGTTAATGAGAGTCTGAGAGCAATGCTTGGAAAAAACAGAGATGCAATATTTTAAACATGAAGCAGCAGTGTTCCCCTGTTTACAGCCATTCCTAAGTAGTAAATAGAGATAATGTCTTGACAAATCATGTTCCATAACCTCATGGTTTCTGAATAGCAGCCATGGGATGCTGAATGGTAAGTTAAGTAGGCAGTGTTATCAGCCAAAATAGAAATCAAGGAGAAACAAAACTATGTCTAAATTGGCATAGTTTTAAACAATAGTTTTGAGTGCTCTTTTGGCCTGCAAATTTGCATTCAGACCCATATGATCAAGCACAAAATCCTCCCGAGCAACATGTGACAGTCTACTGCTAACTCTCCATTTCCCCTCTGCTCTTCATCTGCACCGCATATTGCTGGCATGTCTTCCTACAGACATTCTGAAAGCAGAAGAGATCAAATACATACAAAATACTTTAAAATAGCAGGTTTTAGGAAAAATTCATGCCTCCAACATGGTTACGGTTTGCAGTTCAGATTCAAGTGGTATGAATTTGGGCTGTTTTCCAATTTAGATGTGGGTGGTATCCATTTGGGCTATTTTCACATTTCCATAGCCTCAAAAACCAGAACTGTAGCAATCATTTACTGACTTTCATGTGAACACAGACTGATCAAGCCAAATTCCTGTTACTGACCAACTACATTTACCTTCACATTACACTGCTTCCAAGGTTGGAGTTCTCACCTTTAGTGCTATCCCAGTAGTAGCATGAAGTCAGAGCTCAAGCAGTAGACACAAATTTTAAATAGAAATCCTTTAAATAGAGAATAAATAGAAGCAATTATCAGAGGCTGAGAGATATTTAAGACAGCATGTAGATATAGGCAGGGAGAGATGAAATACTAAGACCTCAAGTAAAATCAGATGGACATTTTTAAGTGAATTTTCAATCGTTTTGCATATTGCTCAGGAAAGCCTACATTGCTGCCCTTTTTTCTTCAAGGAAAAGCCAAGCAAAAGCTCACAAAGCTGTCTCATAGAGTAAAACCTGCAACATCCTGTGGTTCCCCACACTCCCCAGAAGTGGGGATGTCAAAATGAAAAAATACGCTAACCACTTGGCAAGAGAGGTTGTACATAAAATCCACTTGAAGAATTCTTTCCTATGCAGAACAGTTGCATCCTTGCCTTCTGAGTAGTTCTAAGAAAAAACTTTTGGCACAATCCTCTCTATTAATGTTGGAGACATTTTTTGCTAATTGAGAAGGGGTTAAGAAATGTTTTCTAGCATGACTGAGAGAAAAAGTAAGTCTTATTGAAACCTCATTATCAAAGCAATTGCTTACTTCAAACCATGTTTCTCAGCTGTTTTATATACATTGAATGCACTCGACTGAATCTATGAGCATTAATGTATTCTGTAAAAAAATAGCTTCTTGAAATAGTCATGCATAGTTCAGTGAGATCATCTGATGCAGCACTGTCTCCTCAAAGCATTAAAAATAAACATTAAAAAGATTTAGTGTAAACTGATATTTTAAACTAATCTATTGCAGAAATCTCCAAAATTTCTTTTATTCACCTTCTCATTGTTAAATTTTTATGCCACATGATACAGTTTACAAATATCTGCTTTTTATTTCAATTATGTGAAATCCTAGAAGTTCAGAAAGGGCAACTGAGAGCCAAGGCTGTACCTGTGCACTGGCTTGGACTTTTCACACTCATTCCTGCAGCTTGACTGCCCATCTGTCCTGTGTGCCACAGCTTCTGCCTGGAACACGTTCCTAGAGTTTCTTGTCATGCAGAAGAAACTATGGGCAAATGCGGTTGCATCACTGAGCCTCACCCTGCTTTGCAGTCAGGATGTGGCTTCGGCTGCCAACCCAGATCAGGAACTCCAAAAGAGTTTTTAAACAGGCCCTTAGGTTCCCTAGATTTAACACAGTCACAATCTGTAATCCAAATTAAGACAATGGCATGAACAGTCTCCATAAAAAGGTGTTAGTATCAAATCTTATGAATTTAAAATAAAGATACGCACAGCCGATATCTGATATATTAACATTGTAATACAAATTATTAGTAGCTTGAGCAGGAATCCCTGACAAACCTAAAATCATCATACAAGCCATGTACTGCTATTAAACTAGAGAGCATTAATTTTAGTGGCAATCACAAAAAGAAGTCATAAAAAGTGTCAAGGGAGAAACCTTCAGCCAGGAGAAATCACCAGCCATATCAAACTCTGGATTTTGCCTAAAGATTTCTCTACAACAGTTTGCTCTGTATCAAGATGCATGTTCTGATCTAGGTACAACACTTACCAATGACCAAAATGTTTCAGGCAAGTCTTCCGATCCCTTGTTTCTGTGCTACAGGAGTTTTTGGTCTACTTAGAGATGGAAAGTCAAGCTATAAATTATCTTAACAACAGGGTACAGAAAACTGGAGCCCTGAATAAACAGGAAATATCTGGGAATTCACAGCAAATTTTGACCAAATGAAGGTACAATACTCACTGTCTTGGACAGAGTTTGTTCCACCGAGTTTTGCTTTGGCCATGCCTCGATGACCTCACAGCTCTTAAATAGAAAACGGAACATGCCACCAGAGTGAGGCAGCATGTACAAGGAATGATCCAGTGGGAAGTAAACAGCAGAAAATAGCACAGGGGGTAAAAAATAATTATAGTTTCTGAACATACAACATAAAAGTTGCTTTTAAAAATCTTTTTTATTTATGAGAATAAATAGAGAATTACAGTCATACTGGTTGAGGATCAGAGAGACAAACCCAGACTAAGCCACAACACTTGCGGTGATGAGGAAATAATGTTACAACAGTCAGTGGCATTTAGGAAATCTGTCCAAGCATTTAGAAGGCTTTTCCAAAATTTCAATGACATTTTGAGCATCAAAAAGAAAAATAAGAAAGCATGCATGTTCTGATAACCATCCTGTCAAGGGAATTTACTGGCAAATCCTGCATTACCTGTGAAAGGTAATGGCAGCAGGAATTTATCCTGTATCTCCTGTAGGCGTATACAGGAAAACAAACTTAGTGGCTATCACAAAACCAGCAGTCTGTGTGAATGTGGTTCTTAAAACATTAGATAAGAAAACACCAGTTAGGTAAAGGGCTTGAATGATGATGCTCCAGAAGACCACTGCAGAGTGGTCTTCCAAGTGATCTTCCCAGGTAGGAGCACATCTGCAAAACACCTTATTTAAGACATCAAGATATATTCTCCCAGGACACCAGCATGCCCCACACCCCTGGGACATGTCCCTCAGGCTGGTTCAGGCTGCCAGGCCATGTCTCAGTGGGCAGCAGCATTTGCCAGCCAGTGACCATTGTGTCTCACACTGGCCCCATTGGCCCCAGATGTGCCAGGGACCATGGAGGTGGCACAGGCATTCCTCAAAACAAGTCTCCTCTACCAAGACCAGCTCCCGTGGCTGGGGAGAAGGTTTTTGCGTTAACCATCACTATGGTCAAGATGTCACCCACACGGTAAAACAAATCCCAGTTCCTCTTTGGCATTTTCCAAACAAACATATTAGGTCAAAGAGGGACAGTTGCTGAGGCAGCAATTACAAAAATAGCATGACATTATGTTTGCTGCATGGCTCAAACCTGCCACTGCCTCCACGCTCCCAGGGTTCCTGAAGAGGAAGACAGGGTATTTCCCCAAGAGGGGATTAGTAAGACCCTACCTCACAGGATCTCCTGAGGCACCGTTTTGGAGTGAAGAGTAACGCTGGAGGGATGGAGGAACTGCTGCCACTCACCTGTCCCATCTCTGGTGCAGGTCTGCAGGGCCCTTCTTGCCAGCTGCATGTGGTGGCTTGTTCCTCTCAGTACAGACTATATAAAAACCACAGGCAGGACCAGAAGTTTGGACTCTGAAACCACCATCTGGGCAGAAGAAGAGGCAGAGGGCTGTGTGGAGGGGCTTGGACATGTTCTTTTTATGTAAGGTTTTTCTCTAGTGGTTTTCCAATCTTGTTGATCCAAGTTTTCTCAACACTATGGCAGATGGTCAGATAGACTGATTTGTTGGCAGACCAGAAAGAGCTAAGCAGGCTGTAGTAATGTTCTAGTGAGGCTACACTCAGATCCAAATGTAATTTGTATCTGAGTAATTTTCTGGTGAGGTTACACTTAGATCCAAATTAGATCTGGATGTTTTGGATGCACATACATATTTTAAATGGGGAAAAAGAGGAATTTCACTGTAACTAGACAGGCTTTGTTTGGCATTTGGGGGACAATGGCTTCCTTCTCTTAATTTCAGGACTTTACCTGCACTTGACTCTCCATTGGTTTCCTAGGAACATCATATTCCAAGGCAGCCACAAGAAATTACTCTCTCAGATGCCTTGCGTTTAAGATAACTGTGGGACACTGGGTCCTGTATATGCCCTCTGGGGGGAAAGGGCCTAATTTATTCTTTGCCCATGTTCTGAATGAGTAAAGAGTGACTGTCTAGGCCACATCCCCTGCTACTAGTAACTGCTAATTCTAGGCCAGGACTATTTTATCCTCAAGAAGAAAAAACCCTTTCAGTGTGTCTTGCTATGTGTGAATATAAAGGAAGGCAAGATATGCCTTGGCTGTGAGGACAAGCATTTACCTCCTTTGCCTGTACTGCTTTCCAGACAAGTAAAACCAAGCCCTGATGGAGTTGTAGGATAGGGGTTGGTGGTTTTTTTTTCTACAAACTGTTTATAGATATTAAAGCGAAGCAGGACTGTGCACTGGGCCATGTGTGTGCATGGCAGAAGCAAGCAGGCTGAAGTATGACCAGTGGACAGGCCCCACAGCAGGTACCACAAATTCTCATGAGCAATTCTTATGCAATGGAGACTTTCTTAGGAGTAACTTCTTGGCAGCAGTACCAGTCTAAGCAGTCACACATCCTATTCCTCCCACCCCATGCTGCACCCTAGCAAACATCTGTGCACTGAATCAAATCAAGCCCCTAGCACAAGGGACTTGGGGACTGCGCTGAGCATGAGGCACCAGCAGCAGCCTCTTCCTGGGAGCAGCAAAGTGACAGCACTACAGAGACAGGAGTGAAAGCCCTCCCCACTGGGCACTGCAGAGCATTAATACTAAACCTGTAAACTGTTGGGTCAGGAAGAAATCAGGCAAAACCAGCACGGCAGTGCAAATGACAGGCTGCCTCCAAAGATCTCAAAGGGAAGCCGTCTGGAATTTCTGCAACAGTCAGCGAGGAGGTTATTGTGTAAGAGAAATCACTGCATGAGCCCTCTGAGCAAATCCCATATTCTGATACGTGTTTTAGATATAGCAGAAAGACTATACAGGCAAAATTACATTATTCCTTAAAGCCCACAAACTTCATGAGATACCCCAAAAATGGCAATTTCTTCACTATGGGATTTCCCTAGAGAAATACTGTATGCAGGTATCAAGTGACTTCCATGCTAAAAGCTCAGATATCAAAAATGTCAGCCCTGCCAAGGTCAGAGCAATACTATTATCAAAGACACAACTCTTGTGGCAGGCTGTTTCCCCATAGCCATCTGCACTAACCAGGAAAGTTTGGTTTACTGTTAGAATTTCATAAGAAAAAGAAAAATAGTACAATCTTGGGAGGAAGCACATGCATCTGAAAATCTAGCCTAAGTGGCAATGAGAATCTCCCTAAGAAGTAACTTTGGGTGTGCCGAAAACATATTGCACTTATCAGAATATATTAACATGACACAAATGTACATTCTTAAATAAAACAACAGGTTTCCTGCCTAGAGCACTTTGGCTTATAAACTAAGCTACAGACAGGCCGAAGATAGAGAAGAAAGTGACAAGACTCATCAGCTAAAGGTGCAGAATCCAAATTAATCAGTGCTTCAGGATAAAGGCTAAACATTATTATCTGCTTACACAGCCCCTCAAAATCAACCAGTTGCCTATAAAGCTCATGATTTAAAAAGGAAAAAAATATGCAAAAAAAAAATCCCAAGACTCTGAGATACCAGAGCCATAAAACACAGATCAGCTGCCTATATTTTGGGTGAGAACAGCCTGGTCCAGTGTCCTTGGAGGATCATCATTTACTCCTGCCTTAGTTTAAAGGTTTAAAGTTTAGAAGTTTAAAAGTTTAAAGGTGAGGAAACTTTTTTCCTCTTACAGGTATATTCAGAAAGATGGGGGTAACAGGATGGTTTTCTCTAGCTTTGCTAGAGAGCCTCTGGGAAGGGAGAATTTCCCACGGCAGCATGTTCCTACCTGTCGCACATCTTCACCAGGAAGCGCAGAGTGAGTAGGAGAGGGAAGCCTGCATTGTCCCCCGCAGCCTGCAAAGTCACCTGGGGCTGGAGGCGCGGCGAGGAGGGGGTTAGCCTGCCCTGCCACAACCCGCTGAAGCTGAGCTAAACGCAACCAGCTGCACACCAGGGCAGCCGAGCGGCCGGCACATCTTTCCCTGAGGCAGAGGCAGCGCTTCCCTAAGGCACAGCAACAGGTCTAGAGGGAGGAGCGGAGCAGAGGCCTCGCGTTCCCATTTCCAAAGACTCCACCTTGGCTCCCGGTACTGCAGCCACCTGTGCGCGCCGCCGGACAGGAGGCGGGCGTCGGGGCCGGGAGGGGCTGGCCTGGGCGCCCCGATCACCGGGTCCCTCCTCTCTCAGCGCCTGCGGGTAGGACGGGGAGAGGCTTCGGCAGCCCGGTACGACGGCGGCCGCCGCTTAACCCCGCCGAGGCAGTCATCGGACAAGTTTCGCCGCGCCCGGGCACGGCGGTAGGAGGAAGCCGAGTCGAGCCTGCCAGAGGGGGCGGCCGCGCCGGCAGGTGCCGGGTTGGGGCGATACAGCGTGCCCCGGCGGGTGCCGGAGTAGCGCGGAGCATGGACAAGCTCAACAAGCTGACTGTGCCGGCCGGGGAGAAGCTCAGGTAGGGTCCGGTCAGCCTTGGTCTCTTCCATGAGTAGCGAGCCGGGGCTTGGAGCTGGGCTTGGGGCTTCGGGGTGACGGGGAACCTTGTTCTGCACCGGGGTAGCGGGGATAGGGAGGCTCAGAGGCACGAGGAAGCTGGTAGAAGTCTTAGAGGAAAACGGAGTTACTTCTGGTTGCTAGGGTGGTATAGGGAAGCGTGGAAGGTAAATACAGGTCTGGAGCCATTAATCGGACACGGCTTTCAAAGCCAACTCTGTCTGCTTCATCTGCAGGGAAAAGGTGAATAGTTTTAAAGTGTCTGTCTTCAAAGCTGTGAGAAGACAGTCTTTGGCTGACTAAAATGTATGAGCCTCATGCAGATTAGAAAAATTTAATTAATTGCTTGATGGTTTAATCAGAGTGGCCTGTGAAGATGGATTTTGCAGTTAAGTTGCATGATATTTTCTAATCTTCGAAAGAACTGGTGGAATAGAGGGAACTGGAAAACGGGAAATGTTCCTAAGTGAACAATGTTAAATACAGGCTTTGAGAGGAAAAAAGCAGAAGCTGACCATTACTGAAGTATTTTTAGTGTGACTTGATTGGTGTGCTGCTGGAGTTGGCACCTCAAGGATCTTTCATCATGGTGATTTTTTCTGAATAGTTAAAATAAGCCCTGTTTCAGACTGAAGCAGCATCCAAACTTCTTCTGCTGCTGGAAAATAAGAATGAAATACTGAAGAAAAAGTTTTTCTAAAAAAAACCTCATACTTAAGTACTTGATACAAATTTATAAGCCATTCTCAAGTCTCTCTCCCTCTCCCCAGAAGCCTTCATGCAAATCAGAATAATCCCTTGTAAAGCTAATTCTGATGGAAAAGCATTTTGTGATATCTACTCTTTCCATTCTGTTGAAATACTGGCAGGGAATGGAGGGGATAGCTGAAGAGCAGCAATGACCCTCATATCATATTCCTTAGCCAGGCACACATAATAAAACCCTATCAGACTGCATCCTACAGCCCATAAAAGAACTCTGTGGAAGGCTCAATGGACAGAGGGAAGAACACAGTGAATTTCCGCACTGTCTGCAATTTACCTCCTTAAATAGTCTAAAAATACCTAAAATAGTGTTCAGGACTGGTCTGAACTGTCTATCTCAAGATAATAGGCTGAGTGATATGGTGGAAAGCTTGATGCTACCTAGACAGTTACTGGTGCATAAAGAAATAAACTACTTTCGTCTGTGATAAAATTGTAGCTGCATCTTTTGTGCCTTTGCAAATTATTAAAGCAGGATTACTTTCAAGTATACAGAAGATGATCTACATGTGAGGGTTGTAATACTCCAAAACTTGTGAACTGATTCAGAAGCCCTAAACCAGAAAGGCAGCCATCACACCCCTGCTGCATCTTTACTCTGGCTGACACCCTTCATCTTGTCTTGAGGTTTTAATATTGTTGTAAAATGAGGAAGAGGTAGCTCGGCTTTTTTCTGTTACCTTGAAGTATTAAAAGGTACTTTTTCTCTCTTCCTCAAGGCCAATTCACCCTAGTTGTGCAAGGAACATATGAGCATTTCTTAAGTGTGACTGTTCTCACTACGTATGGTGGAAATGCATGTATGCTTCTATTTTAGCACATCGAAACACCTCCTTAGACAGAAACTTGGGTGTTTGGCTACACACTCTTATTACAGCATCGGGCTTTAAGAAACTTAAAGCAGAACTGTCTGTGAGTACATATTCATAGCATACATTTAGGAGAGATGTGCAAATTTAGGAAGAAATCAGCATAACGTGGCAGCAGCCTTTTCTTCTTTGAAATAGCTGAATACCCCATTGTGCTACATGACTTATTGACAGTGCAGTTGACTTCCTAATATAGCCTCCTGTCTGCATGGAAGACACATAGATGGTTCAGAGTTTGTCCTGAATGTTACACAAACAAAATGGCTGCATTAAAAACCTACCTTCCTCCATATGCTAAGACGCAATGCCAAGAAATATTCCTACCAAGCATAGTTTCAATTGGTGTAATTATAGTTCACTTTTTTCTAAAGACAGCTTTCTTAAAATTTCCGCTTTATAGCAGCAAAAAATTAAAGTAGCACTGCTCTTGAGTCAGTGTCTGAGCGCAAAGCTTTTGATTTTTTTAAGTGTAGACCTGAAAAGCTAGATATTATGTGGTTTTGCTATGCTCAGCTGTTCTCCATGGTTATATTTGAGCCTACCAGATCTAGCTTTTTGTTGCATTAGCCATTCTTATGTCAGATCTGAATTCTTAACATACTCTGTTTGTTTGTTATTGCAACAATAACAACTGTTCAGTGTTTTTATGCGCCCCTGTACCTACCATGTTGTGGTGTGTTTACTGCAGTTAAGTTACTCAATTAACTTTAACATCAATTAGATAGGAATGTTGGAACTTCTTGGAATTCTAGTATTATTTTTATATAGTGTTTATTATAAGGTATGCACAGTATTATAGAAGTTTTCCTCAGAGTACATTGTGTGTTCTAATTGCTTCCATACAGTCAGGAAAAAATGAATTCCAAAGGTTGTTTATTTATCATAAGAAATTAATCTGTGATGCATGCAAGTAATTCCATATTTTGAATGGTTTTCTAAAGTGTGGAGTGAATATATGAGCAATAGCCATGCTGCCATGGCAGACTCTCATGTGCCTTGATTTCAGCAGAAACAGGAGTTAGCAACTCAAAACAATCAGCATTAAACATTTGCAGTTCAGCTTCTTGGACTATAAGCCTATAATTCTTGGTCTTCAAATAATTTCTAGCTACTATATACTACTCTGTTACAGCATCTCATTTCAAAGGCATCATTACCATTGTCACTACTGTGATGGGCAAACCATGGCATGAAGCATAAGTCTACCACATGTTTTCACTTGCCCAAGGTCATGCAGCCAACAACTTCCACATTGCAAACAGACTTGCCGAAGAGGACAGTTTCATGTTCATTTCAGATGGCTTCATTAATTTGCCATAGTTCTTCCTTCTCTCTCGCTTCACCCAGAAATAACGCAGACCATTAAAGTCACTGTTTCCAACCTTAACTCCCAAATAAAAAGCAAGCGGGGGGGGGAAAGCAACTGACTTTTTTTGCTCAGGTTGGACAAGTGTGACAGTTAATTTGCAATATTTTATTTTTACATCCTTTGCTAAATAGGAGGATTAAGTCCTAATTCTATTAAAATCAAGAGGAGTTTCTTTAAGGCCTGAATACCTGTTAGTTGTCCATCAAATCTGAAGATAGTTATGGTCTTCACTAATTTTCTACTGACAGAGGGCTTGACTGTAACTGCTAGGTCTTTACCAGATTTTCTGGTACCATTTCCTCTTGAAAGTGTATTAGCAGAAAATGAATTCATTTGGTAATCAAATTATATTTAACTGTAAATTGACATCTCCTATGTACAGGATGTTTTAGCATAGTGAATGTTTAATTTAGAGAAAATGAATGGGGAATAACTGAGCATTAGTTTTCCACTGCGAGAAAATTTACAGTATTATATTAGTATTACAGTAGTTTGACTAATCCTTATTAATAGTTAATTGTAGCAAGCAAACTTAGAAACTGAATCTTTTTTCAAGTCAGATTTTAACATCATTTAGTGTTATCAAGGGACTTGAACAAGATAAAAGAACCAAAATAAACTCAAGCAGGAAAGAAACTGGAGTTTCAAAGTAAGCTAGAGAATGCTCCCAGTGACACAACTGGGCACCAAAGTCCACATCCGACTTTAACATCTTTTCCCCTTTTTAGTTATATAGACTTCAGAGGAAAGGTTAATCAAATGCCCAGTTACTTGAACACTGCTCAGTAGCCTAAACACTTGCATCAGAACTATTCCACATACAAGATTTTTCCAGACTAACCTCTTCTAGTTGCTATCTCTTCTTCACAAGTCATGGCCCCCTTAATTCTGCTCTTCTACCTGCTCTGTTCTCTTTCTAGCAAAAGTCTAATCTGCCTCCACAGAACATAACAGCCATGAGGGTCTTCTGGGATACAACCCACCGCTACCTCCAGCAGCCTTCTGTCTCAGCTTCCAGTTTCTCCTGTCAACTTTCCACTGTGCAGTAACCCTTTGTCACAACAGCAGCTTTTGTGGCTACATTTTAGCCCAACAAAATGTAGACAATGTAAGGTCACATGAAATCGGTGCCAGTGGCATGCAGTCTTTAAAGTTGGCTTTCAAAGGCATGGAGGGAAAGGAGGCCACCAGCTATGTTTGCCCATGCTGGTGAGTAAAAATGAAAGTTCTTTCTGTAGGATTGTTCGGTCCAGTTTGCCATTAAAAGCATGGGATTTTGAGTAAATGATAAAGCTGTATAATCTCGATTTCCTCTAGCTTTCTGTCAGCTTAGACAGTTCATTAATCTCTCTCACCTCTGGACTTTGGAATGGAATGAGATATGAAATGCAAACTTCCCCAAATACCACTGTAAAACCCCCTTTCACCCCCAGTGTGACTTCTCTAGCCAACTCCTCCTGTTGTTTCTCTCTGACCTTGCTTCAGCGTAGCATAGCCTCCACCCCATCTATATTTGTTCTCCTTTTTCCTTTCTCTCTGCATAAGCATTTCATTCTAACAAGCCTTTTAAAGTTTCTTTCTTTTTCTTGCTTATCATCCTTCTTTCAGCTATGTCAT